AAGTATACGTTCCCGAGTATACGAGGGTATTCGCGGTTTATTTAAAATATACTTTTACAAAATATCAAAATGAAAAATTCAAAATAGATTATATTTTTGCGACGATTTGTGTCAAACTTTTAGATCCTTAATATTAATACACATGGAATAATGTTAAAGGGAAGTGGCCATATGAAGGGCCCGTGACAGAGGACTGGAAAGAAAAGAGATGAATTTTTAAAAGATAAATTTGTAGTAAATTACTTTCACCACGAGATGGTCATAGTGTCGCATTGCAGGCTTCCGATGAAAAATATTCAACGCTTGACTATCTGTAATATTTCTACTTGAAGCAAATCCCGTTCTACCTGATTCTACCCCGTTACACCCAAAGTGGATACCTTACGTTGCTTTGGTTCCACTTGTTTTTTAATTCGGTCATATTAGTTTCACCTGTTTGCATTCTACAGGTTGTACTATTTACTTCTTATATCGTCATTTATCTTTTCATGATTGATTTCAGTTCGGCAAGTGCGTAAATCCGACTATTTTCATCAAAAAAAGGTAAGTAGAAAATTATAAATTAATTTAGACAGACATTCTCGGTGTCTATTTAAGACAAGGAATTCAGAAATGACATTCCTTTTAAATTGTCTCCTAAACATGGTATACCATGCCCATAAAAAAATTAATTTCAAATAATCCAATTCGTATAAAAATGATCACAGCTATGGTCTAAATTTAAAATATTAATCTTGCATAAATATATGTGTATACATACATACATATATATATATATATATATACATACATATATATATACACAGAGTCATGCATATACATATAAATTATCAACGAGATAATAAGTATGAATAAATACTTCTTTAAAATGTATAATACTAATAATTGTAACCTGAGACAATCCGAATTAATGATATAGTATAACCAAAAATATAAAATATATAATGTACATGTTTTATCCAAAATTCATTCTTTATTGAATACAGATGGCATTTAGTGAGCTCGAAGAAAGAATTAGTAAAATCCGACAACAAAATGAAGAAATTAAAAGGAGACATGAGGTAAGTCGTTAGAACGATAGTTCGGTAGATTGTTTTTGATGTATGCAAAATAAAATATATTATTAACTTTTAATACGGTCAGGAAGTAGAGGAAGATAAAAAAAATGCTGCTAAGCTAAATGCTTTGGTACAAATGGTACCGTCAACAGATTGGCCAGAAAGGAAAGAGCCACCGGAATATTCAAATCTCCCTAAAGTAACCCATAAACAAAAATCTGCTACAAAGGAACAATCAGAACATGGTCAACAGCATCATCCTAATGACAGAAGAAAAGTATGTTTCTTTGTTATCGTATCAATAGTTCATTTATTCGTATGAACATATTTGTGTATATATATATATATATATATATATATAGGGTGAAGGACCACCACCTGACCCTAAATATAATTTTCTTGCTGATGCTGAAAGAGAAGAATATAGTGTATCAAATCAGAAAGACAATACTGGAAATAAAAATCATAATAGATCAATATGGGGCAATTTTAAAAAAAGAGGAATGGGAAGAGAAGGACAGCAAAGGGTAATTGTATTTATATGTATGGACGGACGTATATCGATAATATTTAGAAATTGCAGACATTTTTTTTCATTAAAAAATAGATTTTGCCACAAATACATCATTTTTATTACACGTTTGTTTTACATCCTATGTAGGGTAGGACATATCATGGAGCGCATAGAGATGAGCATAAGCCGGAATACGAAGCATGGCGAAAAGAAAGAAATCGCATCGATGAAGATCGTATTAGTAGACAGAAAACTGCTGAGGGTAACTGGCGGAGAGAATGGGATAATGATAAGGTAATTTGTTGTCAATTGAATGGAAGATATTTAAATCTCATCAATTAATTTGATGAATTAATTTTATATTTGATTGACAGGCTCATTTAGTGAATGAAATCTCAAAAGCAGAAGGAAAGATAACCGTAGGAGATTTTACAAAAAAAGATGGGAGATATTCGGACGGTAAAAAAAAATTATAATTTGAAATATTTACATTTTTTCATTTCTTTTTTTGTATTTTTCCCTAAAATTTCTAAAGGTAATAACAGATTTTTCAATTCATCAGGGAGCGGATATGCAGGCCATAGTCGTGGTGCTTATCATAAATCCTATCGAGGATCTCCTAGAAATTTTCATAATAATCATGATTATCATCATATGAATTCATATGATCAACATAATCATGATATGTCTTCCATGTCTCTTTCTGTAAATGAACGAACTGTTGTTGCGACAGATAAAAGCATTAAGGTAACATTAAACCAAAGCAATATGACAAAGGGTCCTCTAATGAGCGTTAAAGGTATATTTAATATAATTAAATCAATAATAATTTTGCAAATGAATTGTCTCACGTATAGAACTGAAATTACATTGTTATTTCTTTTTATTAATTTTTTTTTTTTTTTTTTTTTTTTTAGTCAATTCACCAAGTATAGCTGGTACAGGAAGAGTTGGTCTACGGCAAAGAACTCGTGTTACATACAGCAGTAATTCTGACATGGATACGAATACGTACGAAAGTGGATCATTTTCACGACAAAAATCATTCGAAGATAAAACTAAAGGAAATCATTATAACAACATGCAAAGGACTCTTAGTTTAAGAAGGCCTCAATCACAAAAAAAGAAAGAAAATGGTGCCAAATCTCCATTTTTGCAACGAAAGGAATTCAGAAAAGAAATTTCATCTGCGAATTCATCTAAACATTATGAAAATGGATCACAACAAAATTTTGTACGAAAAGAATACAAAGATTCGCAAAAGTTTCATTATCCACCGAAATCACCAAGAGCATCGCATAAAAATATGAAAATATCGAAAAACGAATCTGTTAATGTGACGAACGACAGTTCGATCAAAGATGAGAAAAAGGTAATAGTAAAGATAGAAAATGATACCTCGATTGAATCGCAAAAAGTAAATGTAGAATCTTCGAACGAAATAAGAGATGACGGCGGAAGCTCAGCAGCTGTCGTTGAAAAAGAATCAAAGAGTGACATCGAAGAGTATAATGATCTTATCTTGAACAATTCTGAATGTTCACCTTGCAAAGAAGAAACGACGAATGAAAAGAACACAGATTCAAACGTAAAACAAGAGGATCAAGATCATAATATAAATGTCACTTCTCTTACTAACCAAGATAACGTTAGTATTTTCGAAGATAAACAATACGTAAATGAAGAAACGAACGAAGATAATTCAATCGTTTCGTCGCAAGATATTAATAAAGATGTGAAAAATGCAAATGATGAAAAGAATGAAATTGATAACGCGATTACAATTATAGATAATGCAATTACAAATAGTTGTAATTCTGACAATAATACGAATACTCTTGATATCGGTCCTGATATCAATCGAGTAGATACGAAAATTGATTTGGTGGTTCAAGATAACGTGTCTAACACGAGTGATGAAAAAACGAAAGAATCACCCGAGAATAATTCGAATCAAAGTGATAAACAAAATGATATTGTTGCAATGTCTTGTGAAAAAGTATCTGAGATTATTGTAGAAACTTGTTCTGAAGCATTGCCTGTTACTGACACATCTGTGTTGACTGTTGAAGAGTATGATGTTACCCATCATAATAATGAAGTTCCAGTTGAATCTATAAATAATATAAATGATAAAAATATTATTAAAAATTCTGATGATACATCGCCAATATGCATTGATAAGGTATCGTCCAATCCAGCTGGTATAACAAAAGATAACAATGAAACGTCTGAGGAAGTAATAGAAAAAAAAGAATTGCAAACTGAAACTGTTGAATCAGTTGCAGAGGATAAAGGCATTGAAAGTGAGGTTACGCAAGATAATTCTGAAAATTAAGAAAACTGATATAAAAAGTAATCTACTAAATATCGTCAACATAAAATAAATAAGTATATACTAAAGCCGTAAAAAAAAAAAAAAAAACAAAAAAAAACAAAAAAAAACAAAAAAAAAATAATAAAATACAGAAATGCAATTACATTCAGATTATAATATACGAAAAATTTAGCTGCTGCACAAATTATATTTTTAAATGTTATTTCAATTACTTATATATAAATAATAGTTAAAAATGAAACGTTGTTTCTATAATTTATAATTACGTTGATAATCTTTTGTTAGTGATATAACAATTAAACGATTATTAATTTGGGATTCACATAAACATTTAATAGAAAAACATTCTATTCAATTTGATATAGGTTCATATGTTTAAAATTTCTATAAAAATTCATTTGTATCTTTAGAATTGCGTTATAACATTTATATCATTTTATATAATATTTTCAGTTATTATTATAGCATTATGTTCTTTTTTTTTTTTTTTTTTTTTTTTTTTTTTTTTTTTTTTTTACGATTACAAAGAGTAATGTGATCTTTCGATAAATTTAACTTGCTGATGTTGCATCATATGTAGATCAGAAAATGATAATATTTTTGTGTATTTTAGTAGATGATCGAAAAATATTTTTATAATTCGCTTTTAGAATCAGCAAATTAAATAAAATTAAGTCACCCCCATACCGATATAAACTGGGATTAGTCTATCGCGAAAGTTTTTCATTTGGATTAACGCCAATGCCAAACTATAATCATTTTATTTTAACTGAATAATAATAATTATTGTTATTTTATTTTATAGTTTATTTGTATTTATTTCCAATTTATTATTTGTTTTTATTACCGAAGTTTATGTTCCATTATATACATTTATTAATTTTTAAGTTTCTTAGATGCTTTCAAATATATATGACATAGATTGAACATAGCACTCTACATTTATTATGCCCTAAACATTAGAAAAATAATGCATTTCCTTTCATCCTGAATTATGAAGATATATTAATGATCTCTTTGTTCCTAAACTTTACTATTTCACACTTTATAACATTTTAGGTAACTTGAAAAATTTCTACTTCATAATTCAACTGTTCCATAGATTCTTTTATCGCATTCAATAATTTTTCATTTTTAAGGTTATACTAAAAAACAATATCTCTTGTAAGAGATATTTTTCTTTTCTTTGTAATAACTTTTCTAATAAAAATTACCTTGACAGCTTGTCTATAACATTGTGCAAATTCTTCATATCGGTTAAGAGAAAGATTCAATAAGCACAAATATCCCCAAACATCTGGATTGCAATTATCAATCTTGTTTGCTTCTATCAAAGCTACTTCAGCTTCCTTTAATTGGTTCAGCTTAAGAAACAAAATATTAATTAACATAAAAAATTATACAGAAAAACAATCGCTTTTTTGTTTTTTTTTAAATATTGTTCACTTCATAAAATGAAATTCCAGCATGAAGCCAGCTTTGACTCGTCGGTGAAAATTGACAGGCATTTAAAAATACTTTCTTTGCTTTTTCATAATCCTTCTTATTTTCATAACATAGTCCCACCCTAATTATAATTATAATGATAATTATATCTTGGAATTTTATTTAACAGCTAATATCCTATACCTTAATCGCAAAAGATATATATCATCTGGTCTGTTAAAGACCATATTAGCAAATTCATAATACTTTATGGCTTCTTCGAGATCACCTTGTTGGAAATAACAATGTCCCATCAAACAACTTATCGAATAATCCTACAGGAAGAAGTTAATGATGTAAGAAAAACAAATTGTATGGGCTATAAAATAATGTCGCACCATTCCATATTGACATTGGGCTTCCTTCAAATGAGATAAAGCATCGTCGTATCTGTGTAAGAGATAATGTTGCACTGCCATATAATATAATAAATATGTTGATCTACCTGTCAGGGACATTTCTTGTGCCAATGCTATACCTGCCAGCTAGATAAATAAACGAACGATATAAATAAATAAATGCATCTTATAAATGCGTATAATCAAATATAATAAATAAATAAATAAATAAATAAATAATAAATAACAATTACATCGTAGAGATGTAATTTAAGCAAGAACGTCGTTGTCACCATGTATATACTATCTCGTGGACAATGGATCATCGACCACGCAATAGGTTCTCGATCATCGATCTCTGTATCTCGATCTTTGTCTTCCATGCATTCCTTTGCTATTCGAATCGCAATGTCTATTCCTAACATTAATAATTACATTTCTACGTTCGATGTGTAAATATACGTATGTGTATGTGTGAAAGAGAAAAAGAGAGAGAGAGAGAGAAAGAGAGAGAAGAAAGAAAGATTATACAAGAATATGTTTCCTGTAAATATATATATATATATATATTAAAAAAAAAAAAATAGTTAAACAGAAATTAGATAGGAAAAATAAAATAATAATTATTGCTAATAGTTAACCTAAAAATAAAAATCCAAAATGAGATAATTGTACATAGCAAAAAAAATGTAAATAATTTTGTTATGTTATGAGGAAAGATAATTTGATTAATACCTGGATAATAATCGATACGAATGTAAAATAAATTCAATATCGTCCATCCTTCGGCAAATCGTGGATAAAAATCAATAATACTACGGAAAAAAATTTCAGCTTCTCGATAGTATCTTTTTTCCATTAAAATTGCTGCATAGATTAATAGCCTATTACAAATAGAGTACAAAATTAATACGATCTACTTAATAATTTCGAACGATAAGATTATAAATAAAGTCCTTACGCAATTCTGTGACGATTATTTAAAAGTATCGCTTCTTGGCAACATTCCTCGGCACGTTCTTTATCTCCTATCGTTAATAAAAATATTGCGTAATTGATCCACGCAGTAGGATTATTTTTTTCTTTATCGATAATCTATACATCGAAGTATATACAAAATTATAATGAATCTTCTTGAATATTAATTAATTTGAATAGAAAAATTTAACGTGTACGGTAGTATAATATTTTCTTGCTTCTTCAATGTGACCTGATTCATAAGCTTCATCGGCATAGAAATATAATCTATTTGAATCAGAAACGATCGACGTTGGATCTTTCCAAAAATTTGTTTCGATTGTTTTGTTAACGATCGTGTGCATAAGTTCGACCAAATAAGTATACACGGTCACTATAAAATTCTAATAAAGAAACGATCATATAACGTTTGTACACACATATATATATATATATATGATCTTAAATCGATAATGAAAACATCGATTATGAAAAAAATCGATATCGATACCTGTCCCTTAGAGGAATCTAAAGTATACGAGGGCATTTCAAATTTCTGATCCAAAAGTAAAGTAATCTTCGTCTTTAATGCATTACGTATGGATATATAAATTCCGGTTTTATATAAGTACTGAATGAAACATGTTAATTCGTCCTAAAAAAGAATGTACTAATTTTATATACATATGTATATATATATATATATATTTTTTTTTAATGATAATTATAACGTTAATTAGAAATAAAACATTACAAACCGGTACGTAACAAAATTTCGAATCTTCGTCTTTGATATTTTCTTCGACAGAAGGAAATGATTTCTTATCTGTTTCTTTACAAAAATCCTATTCGTATGGATAATAACAGAATATGATTTAAACTAAATGTAAATTTTAATATAGTGAATATAAATATATATATATATATATATATATATATATATATATATATATGGAATGTTAATTTCTTTCATACTCTATAATTTTCTGTCATAATTTTAATTAAAGTTTCGATGCATTTCGTATATTGATTCTCAGCCAAATCTCCGGAATATGGATAATATGGTTTTTTATCTGTTGCTGTTGTCAATTCATGGATCCTAACGTTAAAAAATAAAAATTTATAATTTCTTAAATATATGTATAATCAATATTATATATATATATAAATATATATTAATATATTAATAATAATTTACAAATTAGAAAAATCTTTATCTAATCGACAAGCAACAAGTGGATGATAAATTTCAATCTCGATTATAACAAATACGGGTTCATTGGTCTCTGTAATTACTGGTTCACTCGCAAGTGTTTCCACTTCTGTTATTATCGATGTATTCTAAAAAATTAATAGATTAGAAAGTATAAATAAAGTATTAATCAATTAGAATATATGATAAATTATATATTCGCTTGAAAGTTTATCACTTTCGTCGAAGTTTTCCCCCGTTTATCTTTTTCTTTGGGCTCTTTCATTTGAGTGTCTATTAAAAAAATAGCTTTCTCAAATCCTGTTTTTTCCATAAGGTCAGTTGCATTAAAGGTATATAATTGCGATGCAATTCGAGTTTTTCTTCCTGAATTAAAATTAAGTCGATATTGTACGCGGTACTATATATATATATATATATTTTTTTTTTTTAATTTATATTTTGATATTTTACTCGTCTACTCACGTCCAGGAAATAATAGTTCACTTAAATCAACGTAACATTGATAAATCTTAGACACTTGTGTAGACTTTGCTTTGACCTTATCGTTTTGTGTTTCTCTTATCATGAATTGAAATGGCCAATATTTATATCTACATAAAAGAAAAAGAAAATATATATATATATATATATATATATATATATATATATATCTTTAATTGGACTTTTAAACAATACGATGATTCTAACTTGGAAATTTGATTTTGAAATTTTCTAATATCATCCTTTTGCAATATGTGACGACTCATAGTATTCCATTGTATTCTCGATGTATTTTTCTCCATTATATCCTAAAATTAGTTAAATTATCAACGCTTTGTACGTGTATTCGTTAAATTATTTTTTCCGTATACCTGCAATTTTAATTCCTCCTTAAGGGTATTCTTTATATCGTTGTAATTACAAGCTAGTTTGTATTTCGACAATTTGGCGCGACTTTGCAAATGGGACAAAGGTTTCCAACATTTACTTTTTTCTATATCTCGACCATGGATCAATTTTCCACCATCGTATGTTATTGTTTCTGGATCCTTCGATCGGTAATTTAAGAAAAGAAAAAAAAAAATTAATCGAAATATGTTAGACAAAATTGAATCTATAATCTTGATATCAAAAAAATATTCCTACTTCTTGGTCACCATAAATAAAAGTACCAGCTGTGTAATCCATTTTATCAGTGAACGAAGATGGTGGATTAAAAATACTTTCTACGGTGATATTTAGAAAATTAAATTTCAAATCAGAAGGAAAAAATAGTTTTTTCTTTTGCTTGATCTTGACCGTTAAACGTGGAAGATTAGGCCACGACACAGCATTGCCATCGAATGTAAATTGTGCTGTTTCTAGGACTAATTTTTCAATAAATAAATTCTCTCCTATAATATAAATATTTATGTATAAATTTTGATCGTTCATATAACTTTATATGTACGGATTGATACCTAATAAAATTGGCATAAGATCGACATTGCACAATCCAATAATTTTCAATTTAAATTCCTTTTTAGGAGGAATTCGAGATTTTTTTGTCCTTCCAGTATCCAAAGCAGTGGGTGTAACACTTTCGTCTTTGTCGACGTTTGATACTGTAACTATAAATAAAAAAAAAAAAAAAAAAAAAAATCAAGACAACAATCGAAACGCAAGAATGAATATTGTAATTAAATTTTACTTAATACTGGAATGGAAACTACACGATCAATGCTATTTCGATCGTAAAGGGATATTGGAATTTGGACAGAAAAATTAACATCGTATACGGGTGGTGGTTCTTTGATACCAGCTTCGATTTTAATTGGTTTACTTTCTCCGAATATATTTGAATTATGTTCCACAGAAAAGATCACATTTGTATCTTCATTTCTTATCTGTAAAATATACTCTTATAAAATATTTTCATAATGTGATAATATTTTATAAATAACTTACAATATTTTCTATAGTAATTATAGTTAATTCGATGTTTCTTTCATTTATCTCTTCTTCTGAGATCAAATTCAAATTTGTCGATTCATCGTTTGGCTATAATTAAAATTGATATTAAAATTTATATCTATAATAATATTAAATAAATACGAATATCTTTACCGTATTCATCTTGTCAAATGATTATGAAGAATATTTCATTTGTTTACTTATTAAATGGGTTAAATAAAATAATAACATATTTCAGAGTAGAGAAAACGAGATACAACATATTGTTCGATATATTTACTTAAAAAAATTCATCTTACAAACCATTGTACTGCATACTGCATATTGCACTTATTGTTCTTTCGATAATGGATTTTTTCACTGTCGAATAAATTTCTCTTACGATTATAAATCATTAAAATTTCCATTGGTACTGCGTTAAATATGAATATGTACGTATTTCATGTAATAATATCAAAAAGAAAATATATGTATATATACATATATGTATGTATATATATGTATACATATATTGAAGACATAAATATCAAAAAATGATGGCCAATAAAAGTCGGCCGACTAGAAAGACGATTAGATTTACGATCGTATATCGAATGATCTATAGTAAGGGACGTATCAAAGAAAACTTATTGGGGCGGGGAGGTAGATGAGGAGAGAGGAGATCATTTAAAAATAAATATACATAATAATGATTAAAGTTCGTTCGATCTTGGAATAATTGTTGTTATACCAGTATCGATATTATTTTGTTATAAATAAAAATTTGAGCATTTTTTTCTTGGTAATAGAAAAGTCTTTGCTTTCGTATACACAAATATTCAAAATTAAAATAAATTAAATAAAATGTCATATTAAAAAAAATTTTTTCTACACGAGCACTCTTTTTGACAAATAATAATTATTTAAGATGAATTTCTCTTCTCCGATCTCAAGTCAAGAATGATTTAATATAAAATCTCTATTTTTCAATGGAGATGCACAAGTCTTTAAAGATTCGAATCATATTAATCAGAATAATATTCTATGTCATTATCTGAATTAAAAAAAATCCTATGCTTTTCGACTCAATTATACGAATATTCCAAATCAGGATCCTGTAAAACATCATACAAGGTTTCTGACATAACATCAGGAAATCTTATTTCAATTTTTGCTATTTTAAAAATAATACCTGAAATAGTTTTTGCTCAAATGAACAAATTAGACTTAGTATAATCTGATTTTCATTCGTTATTTTTATAATACAGCTGGTTAAATTTCTCAAAATCTTTCTCCTTTGTGATCTTAACAACACCAATCTCCATAGTATAAAAAATTTTTAAAGTTTCTTTACATTGACAGTTAAATCATATCGATTTTTGATTTTATCTTTAAATGTTCGTTATTAATTATAATGATTAAATCAGTTCTATAAAACTCATTGACAATTCTCATCACAATAGCTGACAAATTATAGATACCTGTTGCACCGGTATGGTGCAGTATTAAGAAGTTACTTTTAATAAATATTTATAATGTTTAGATCTTTCTTTTTATGTTATTAAACATTAATTCGTGACATGTGACAATCGCTTATCATACGACTAAAGCGATTTCAAAGTTTTATCGATGTGCCTCAAGGTTGTTTCTGGTACGGCGTCGGTCAAAGCTTTTTGAAAGCCCTCACAATTCATTAATCGTCGGAAAATCTTCTTTGCATTATTTCTATAAATAATAATAAAAAAAAAAAAAAAAAAAAAAAAAAAAAAAAAAAAAAAAAAAATAAAAAGAGAAAAACATTACATAAGGAGCGATTAAAAGAGATTGCAAATATTTTTAATTTATTAACACTTGCCTTGCGTCTAAATTTCCGTCCATTAATAATTTAGCTCCTGAACCAAGCAATTTATTTCTAACGTCACGAGGTAATATCATAGCGTGTTCAGCTCCAATACGATCTACGATCGACAATAGTAATCTCGCCGTGGCTGCTCTTACGATTGCATTTTGATGACTAAAAATTCAACGAAATACTATAGAAATAATTTTATTAAGAAAATAATATAATACTTATTGAAAATGAATTTTTTTTAACGCACCTTACACCACGATACACGATAATACCAATAGTTTTATGTGGAGGAAGCGATTCGACCATTCGATCTAATGCTGTATTACTATCAGCACGTAGAAAACGATTCGTATCTGCTGTTCTGTGAAGCAATGGTCCAACAATATCATCGATATCCTATAAACATCAAAGATAATTTATAGAACATAAAAAAAAAGAAATGAAGTTTAAATATTAGTATTTATTGCATAATATATAATAATAATAATATATTACATAAGTGTTACAAAATTTGTTTTTCTTCTATAATAATTAATATAAAAATATTTGTTAAATTCACCTGATCTATACCACGAATTTGACAACTAAAAATATCCCCTGCAGCTATACAAGCAGCACGTGCTACTTGCGAACGAAGATTTTTAATATGACGACCTAATAATCGACCTATCGTACCACCGATATTAAGATCCAAATATTCAGGATGTTGTTTAGCCAATTGAGATAAAGATTTAAGTCCTTTTATTGTTACCTCCCTAAAGTATAATTTAAACATATATACAGTCCCGTTATATAATAAATATAATTAATGTAATATCTTTAAATACACACCAGTCTTCATTCTCCAGTTGATTGAAACACTGCCGTACGATAGGTTTCTGTTTATCTATTCCTTTTTCCGAATGTTGATTCATGTTCGATTTGTTAGAAATGTTTCTAGATTTCGTTGAACTACGAAGTACCCTAGATGACATCTTTCTGACGACTTCTGTATTTTCTTCAGATTGTGGCTAAGAATAATAATCATTATTTATAAATTAAAAAAAGAAAAAAAAAAATATATATATATACATATATTTATGTAGAAGAAATTATTATAGGAAAAAATGTGAGGTGCATACTTCGATTTTTAAAATTGCAGACGCCTCATTATTTTCTATATGTTCATCTCTAATATCGTTTAATTTCGTGAAACTTTCCGAAGAAACAGGTATCTTAGTAAACGCCATATTTGTAGCATTTTCTTCAGTAGTATCTTCCGTAACGGACCAATCCATTCTCGTTTCAATGTTTCTAGAATTATCAATATATTCCGGAGGTTTGTTTAATAAACTTGCTGCGGATTCGATGACGTCGTCTAATCTATCGGGCTTTTTTGTTTCTAAAGTCTGATGAGTCACAGATTGATCGAGAAACACGGAGGGAACTTCTTCGCTAACATCTTGCAATATTTCATTAACTTCCTTGTCGAAATTCTGAATCAAATGAGATGTTCAATAAAAATTTAATTTCTAATGAATCGTATTTGTAGGGGAAAAAGAAAAAATGGAAATAAATAAATAATATAATATTACCGATGTTAAATGTACATTTCGTAGATCACGTCTCGGTGAACCAAATACGTTCAAATAATCGTTACAAACCATTGAATTAATATATTCTGAATCAGATTTGGTTATAATTTTCGTATATTCAGGAGATGAAATCGTCGGAGTATCGTGCAATCTCCTATCAATTCTATAATTAATCTCTAAAGATTCACCCGAAGACACTAATAATTCGTTCATAAGAATATCCTCGTCCGAGATAATGGTAACGATCGATTTTCTACGTAATTCCGTTTTATTTTTTGCTCTGTCAACTGTATCAGAACTTTCGCTATTTAAAATTGAATCATTGTCGTTTTTAACTAATTTCTCTCGTTTGGACGTTTTTTTATTTCTCGATTTAATTCTTTCCTCGCTACTCCAATCCTTCGAAGTTTCATCCTCCGCTGATGTACTTGTTGATTCGGTGGAAGCATCTGATTCTTTCATCGTTAACTAAAAAATAACGACGTGTAAAAATAAATTTTTACTCTATATTCTATTATTTCTATTCTACGAATAAAAGATTAAAAAAATGTTTCTGTTTTGTTTTTTCTTTCTCTTTAAACTTACAACGTAGGAATCGACAGGGTCCCTTCCTTGAGATTTATCAGAGATAACGTCGAAAGCTTTCTCGTTGTTTTCACTTTGCGAAATCGACATGCCAATGCTGTTATTATCACTCTCATCTCGATCGCGATCTTCCAAAAGAGATCGCAAAGTAGGTTGGTTTCTTCTTCTTTCGTTTGAATCACTCGCTGATAGATCTGACGATGTACTGTCAGCGCTTCTTATTCTTCTTGTTTTTCTTTCGTAATCTTCGTTGGAGAACGTATCGGAAATAAACAAAACATTTGAACGAATATTCGAGGATAAATATTCCTTTCACATTGAAATTCGTCATACTAAAATATTTGTTTACGTATGTGTATCGACTGCGTAATTAGTATACAGTCATATTTGTTGTTATTTCTATTGGTAGAAATGACAATATATTCGATCGTGCCTTAGACTTGACCAGCGAAATATTGATTCCTTCGAGCCTGTAAACTCAGCTTGGACGTTAAGCGACGTAGATATATGTATGTATGTATATATATATATATATATATATATATATATGTATATATATATATGTATATATATACACAAGAGGTTAAGAACCTTCTGTTCCAGTTCGATCGTCCAAGCTGATTTCACAGTTAATTGTATCTTTCGTATCGATCGGCATCTTATTTGCATTGACATACAATTAATCTAATAAATAATCTAATAATAACGCGTACAAATACATATATATATATATATATACATATACATATACATATACCTTGATGAAATGATTCTTCATTGTTTAAAGCTTGGATAGGATAAATATTAGTTTCTGATAAATAATAATCCTTGCTCTTTCTATCGTTATATTCCTCTACGTTCACAGGTGCTTTGTCTCTGAAAATAGATTTAATAAAATATTATATTAAATGTATTTCGTTATTTATGTAGATATATCGATTTTAAACATAAATAAGAAACAACATCTGGACAAGGAAAGAGATTTCGATCAATTTTGTATACACCTACATTGTATCTGTACTTCTATGTAGTCTCACTGCTATGACTGGTGTAACGTTAGGATTAGTAATAATTGTCGAAATGGATCCATTATCATTCTCGTTGCCAATACCGATTGATCTTCTGCATCGGAAGACGCAAGGACAACAACGGAGAACGGTACCAGCGAAATT